GAATTCTACCATGCCAGTCGTGTTAATTGTACTCGTCTTCAGGGATTTGTCGTGCTGCCTTTAAGTAGCATCTTTGGGAACTAGTCGCGTAGGGGAGTTGGTGCCCACACGACCCATTATAAAAAGAGGGGTTGCATGGAGACCCTCTTTTTATGAGAGGTTGTATCGATGGGGGATTTTCCCTCAACGTCATGCTTGACCATGGCTCAAAGGGACTGCGTTCACGTTGCCCGTAGACCTTCGTACACAACCGATGGGTTTGTAAACACGGTAGCGAAAGCGACATTTGAGCAGTGACGAACAGAGACTGACCATACATGAGCTTGAAGCATCGTTTTGTAAAAGGCACCTCGCGCGAACGGAATATTTCTTCCTTGTGGGGACGTCTAGCAATCACAATTCACCTAGAAATTACAGTTTTACCATTTCAGTTCCCACTGGTGACCGCATATGGACGTATCGGTGGCAATTATTCAACTTAGACGTACTGATCGTACATTTCTCTCTCCGCATGACTACGATGTTGTTATTCTCGATGAGCCATCAACCAGCTACAATGTACCAAAACACGACGAAGTTCAGGTGGTTTTTGGATCTCTTTTTAGAAGACACTACGGCCAAACTTTTCAACATTTTTTTGTGATTTCTGTACCTTTACGATGCGAACGCATGTCCATCCCGTTTGCGCCTTCTCTTGAAACTTTCCTTCAGTCGTTTAGCGATCTGCTGCAATTGTAGCTGTGATATAGAGAGATTTTGTGTGGGTCCTCACGACCACTAAAATGCAGGTTCAGAAACCGAGCCTTATTCGCTACGCACTTTTTGACCACGTTGCATGAGACTGCTCATGGTCAGCAAAGAGATCTCAGTGAACTGTATTTGATTTCAGCCCTTATCCAGTAAAGAAACGAACCACCGTTGGAGGACATCGAGTAGCAAGCACCGTGATCAAATTGCCGTCATTCCGAGTAACGGACTGCACCGCCAGCCTTGCGGATTCCGTTCTCAGTGAACTGGCAACCAAGACAAGGTGAGTTGTCAAAGGTTCCAATCGCCCGAGTTGCCAGAGCATAAATTTTCTAAAAACCTGGTAGAGTCCGCAAGGTAATGAACGTCGCGTAGCTTGAGTACCATAGGGCTATAGTTGTGGATGCACCTTCCCTGCGCTTCTGAAAGCATGCAACAGGTGGCTGCTTCACAGAAGCCTTTGATTTCAGCTTTGGTTGCAGTCGTTATTGTTCCTTTCTATCTCGTAATTATTTCGTCGGTAGCCATAGGGTCGCACTCCATCGACGAATGAAGCGAAAGAAACTGTCAGCAAACTTTGAACGAAAGCAAATTGACGTGAAATCGAACGAAATGGAACGGTGACGCTGTGATTGGGATGGTTCGTCTCGCTTTGCGCATATAAGATAACTCTACATTAGCATACGCACTAGGGGCGGGGCGTGCTATAGGTGGGCGGTGCTCGCTACAAAACTTTCAAAAATTCGTAATTCGGTTCCAGAAGAGCCCGGAGAGCGGAAATTGTGGGAAACGATAGGCAGTCAGTTGGCGGACGAAATGAGGGAGGCATACCATTATGGGCGGGCGTGCTCTAGGTGGGCGGTGCTTGCTTCAAAAATTTCTAAACATTCTTTCTGAAACATCGGCACAGTCGCTGTCCGCGGCGCATGATAACTGAATCCCTGGTATCGCAAAGTGTGAACGCTGTCTACTCCTGCGTTAGCGATTCGCGAACAACGGGGAACAAATCTGGTTGCGTACGTACAGCTCGCTGAGAGCCCTGTGAAGAAAGTGCCTACAGTTCAGTTCTCATTTTCAGGGCAGCATTTCGCCGAGCAGTTGCTATACCACTGTGGGACGGCGATGGGCCGTCTTCAAGTGGACGAATCGCTCCCGGTACCGTTCTGATGTGTGCTCCGATGGTGCCTAAAGGTAGTCACGTTGCCTTATTTTTTGGCCTCTTTTTCCTTTTTAATATTCATTCATCATTCCAATCAAGCAGGCTGCCATGGCCCTATCAGGGAGCCACAGTGTCTGGGCGACGATCTAGTGTACTCCAAAAACTATGCAATTATTCTGAGAGCACTATGATTCACAATTGTTGTTCTATACGAAATGATCTAGTGAAGAATTGATTTAATTGATTTACCAGCACTGTTCAACCATTACTACCCCAATCTTCCGAAAATAGGGCAGTTTTTGACCAGCATTTTTTTCTAACTAAAGGGGACCTCCAAACACGAATATCACATCCGCTTGGCCTGAAGCTGCCTGGCGCCTGCGCCACAGGCGCCGGCGTGAAAAACCCTACATTACCGAATTCGCTGAAAACTTATATACGAGAATTATTTGACATCCTGATTACGAGCATGACATTCGGTCTTGGCGTTGACGTTAATGGAGATTATCTGTGCTCTTTTAAGGCTGAGCCTGGCCTGGTGGTCCTTTTCACAGGCTCAGCTTCAGCAGAGCGCTAAATTCCGCTGGCGTCAAAAATGAATGCCATATTTGTGATCAGGGCATCAACCAACCCTATTGTTATCGATTTAGATGAGAAATGGTGTGGCGCCAAACTGGCGCTTAATGGCTCCAAATGCCGCCGTACAAAAAATGAATGTCATGTTCATGATCAGGGTACCGAATAAGCCCAGTATGCAAGTTTACAGCGACTTTGAGAAAAGGACGGCGCCAAATTGGCGCCTAGCGGCGCCGTATTGCGCCAGCGTCAAGT